TATCAAAAAGCAAAATGATAGTCATAAATCCTTTTCAGTAGTCATTTTAAAAGCAGGTAAACAAACTTCAATTGAAAGGCATCAATTGGACAAATGGCTTTTAAAACATAATTCAGTATATTCTCCACAAGAGACACATTTCAGTTTCAAAGATATAAACAAGTTGGAAGGAAAAGGATGGAAAATATATTCCAGGAAAACAGAGCTGGCATCACTGTGCTAATATTAGGCAAGACAGACTTTCAGACAAAATTTGTTAACATGAGACACAAATGTTATCCATGTTAAGGGGTGAATCCATCAAGAAGCTACACAAGTTCTACACATATATACATCCAATCATAAAGCACCAAAATACATGAAGCAAAAGTAGACAGGATTGATGGAAGTAGTTTTAACAATATAGAGAATCAATTCATCTACATTCAATAATACAGAGCAACTAGACAGAACATCATCAACAAGGGAATAAAAGGCTCCAACAACATAAACTAGCAGGCCTCCAGTAGTTTACACTTGTAATACTAGCTACTCAGGAGGTGGAGATTTTCGAATCCTGGTTCAAATTCAACCAAGGCAGAAAAACTTGAGAGACTCTTATCTCCAATTAACCAGCCAAAGGACAGAAATGAAGGTGTAACTCAAGTAGCAGAGTGCTAGCCTTGAGCAGAAAAGCCAAGTGAGATCATAAAGCCCTGATATTTTTTTTTGGGGGGGGGGTTGGAGTTGTGGGGCTTGAACTCTGGGCCTGGGCGCTGTCCCTCAAGCTCTTCAGCTCAAGGAGAACACTGTAGAGTGCTCCTGAGCCACAGCACCACTTCTAGTTTTCTGGTGGTGGTTTATTGGAGATAGGAGTCTCATGGACTTTTCCTGCCCGGACTGGCTTTGAACCGCGATCCTCAGATCTCAGCCTTCTGAGTAGCTAGGACTACAGGCGTGAGCCACCGGCACCTGACTAAAGCCCTGATGTTAAGCCTCAGTTGATACTGGCACAAAACAAACAAAAAAAAACAGAACTCAACTAGACCTTATAGAAAGATTTTTAAAAATTCCAACAGCAGCAGAACACACATTTCTTCCCCCTACACAAAGAACATTCTCCACATTAGATCTTATGTTAGGCTATACATTTTAAAAGATCAAGACAATTACTGGTGGCTCATTCCTGTAATCCTAGCTATTCAAGAGGCTAAGACCTGGAGGACTGACATTCAAAGCCAGTTCAGACAGAAAAGTCTTTGAGATTCCATCTCCAATTAGCCAGCACCAGCTGTGAACAAAACAAGCCAGTACATGGATGAAAATGAGCTAAGCAACTCAAGGGCAGCAATGGGAGGAAGGGACTGAGAAAAAAGGGAACAGCCTACACTAAGCAAAAGAAAAGAAATAGCAGTAGAGCCAAAGTTTGTAGAATCCATAAGCTTCATAGACCAGGACAACAACAATGCACCTTGTGAAGGTTAAAATGCATTTGTGACTTTAACTAAGTTTCATTATCCCACAATACTGGGAAATTTGTGAAATTTAAGTAATCAATCTCAATGTTTTTTTTAAAGCCAATGAGTGTGAGACCCCTGAGTTCAACTGTGGAAACAACATCAAAAATAAATAAATAGTATATTCTTCAAGTAAAATGCAGTGAGACCTGAAATCAACAATAAAAGAAACTTTAGAATATTCTAATATGTGGAAATGAAATGAAGCAATACATTGTTAGAATAGCCCGAGCCTTGGACAACGTCAAAAAGAAATTAGAAAATACTATAAGATAAAGGAAAAAAATTAGAACAACCAATATACCACATCGATGGGATGTGTTAAAGCAGTGCTCAGAGGGAAATTTACAGCTGCAAATAGCTTTTATGAACAAGAAGAAAGGCTGGGCATGGTGGTGCATACCTGTGGTCTAGCACTCAGGAGACAGAGGCAAGACTGAGACACTGACACCAGTCTAAGAGCCAGAGACCTCATCTCAGAAAACCTAAACAAAAAAGATCCCACAACAATGACCAAACTTTCCACCTTAAGCGAAGAAGAAAAAAAAAAGGCAAACTAAACCCAAAGCAAGAGGAAGATAACAAAGACAATATAAACCAAATAGAGAGGATTAACAAAATCAAAACTCAGTTCTTTGAAAAGATCAGCTAATATGGCTCCATCTTTTTAGACTGCGTATTCTCTGGATTTGAACTCTCTTACTTCTGTTCTGACTACTCCACTGAGACTACCCTAGGGCCACTGCCAAACTCAACTTCCTCAGTTTTGGGACAAGATCTTACGATATAGTCTAGGCTGTGTAGAACGGAAATCCTCCTGTACTGGAGATTCAGGCATGTGCCACCATGCCTGACCTAACTTCCCTGAATTCTTATCAGCTCTTGATGTTGAGTCCTCCCTCCTTTTTGGCTCCCTGGCCTCTCTCCTGGTATCTCTTCCTCCACACCCATCTCTTTTGCTGGCTTCCTTACAGCCCATTGTAGGTGCTTAATAAATACTTAGAATTAATTTGGGTTAAATTTGCAAGGAGACTGAGTTTTTTGTTAGCTTTCAATGTGTTAGTAAATACTGAAAGTTCTTAACTACTAGGTTGAGAACGGTATCACTTCAGGTGGTATGAAGGCATGGGCAGTAAAATAGCAAATTGCTCTGGCAAATAATATATTCAGTGTTTGTTCTAATAGGAATGAAAAGAACTGAGAATAAGCCCTATCAAACACTGCTGCTGGAAAAATTACCCCCTAAATCATTTTTTTCCTTAGCTTCTCAGAGATTAGAGAGGGACGACCATTTTCCCAAAACTACTCACTCGTATAATAGCATGCTCTTGGCTTTTGGCCCCATTTGGTGGCTTGGAATTCAGTAAGGTCTCTGGAGAAACGGCACCATCTGCTGGGCAAGTCGGCTGTGCGTCTGTGTTGATAAGAGGGGTTCCAGTTGCTGCCGGTGCAATGCCAAACTTGACAATGAGCCAGCTTTCCTCAAGTCCAAACATGAAGCCTTTCAGTTCCAGAGCTTCAGAACAGACCAGAGATTTCTTCCTCAAACTACCTTGGGAAATTACTGCCATTGTGGAAAGACAACTGAAATAGATCTAGATGAAGATGGATGGGAGCCCGACTTTCAGTCCTTTGTCCCTTGTCTTCTCTGTGCAAGTACGATGCTGAGACACTTCATTTTTGGAAATTCCAGTTTTTCTGCCTTCTCTTCCTGAGGACCATAATTTATCTGTATTTATCTTCTAATCTATTACCCTCTGGCTTAGGTATTTCCTTCCTCTTCACCAAACCTACTTTGTTTCTTTTTTTTTTTTTTGGGTCCGGTCGTGGGGCCTGAACTCTGGGCCTGGGCACTGTCCCTCAGCTCTTTAGCTCAAGGCTAGCACTCTACCACTTGAGCCACAGCGCCACTTCTGGCTTTTTTCTTTTTGCTTATGTGGTGCTGAGGAATCGAATCCAGGGCCTCATGCATGCAAGGCAAGCACTCTACCACTGAGCCACCTTCCCAGCCCTACTTTGTTTCTTAAGTTCTTCTAAAGACTCTTTACCATTACATTCAATATAGTAAATGGGTTTTATAGACTCAGAAATAATTGTCACCTTGTTTTCCCCTCTCAAACACTCTGATAAACTGAATCTGAAATCTCAACATTTCCCTAATTCCTCAATTTGTCTTTGTTACTCAGTGTAAATTAGTTTCTCTGAAACTTTTTTCATAATCGACAGTAAATGCCTTTCCACCTCAATTCTGTGCTGACAACTCAACCAAATTCCTTATTTAGCTCCTGATGTATAATTTACCTCCTTCTTTCCCTTCCTTCAGTCAGGCTGTTAGTACACAGCTCAAGCTAGTCTTGACTTCAAGATCCTCCTGCCTCTGCTTTCCAAGTGTTGAGATAAAGATGTACACCACCACATCTGACATTTTCTCCTCTTCCTTACTTTTGCAATTAGTCCTGTATTATGATAGTTATGCTCTGTCATCTGTTCATGAATTAGTCCACAAAATGCATGAAATTGTTCCTTTATTTTCCTTGTGGTTTTACCAACATTACAAATTATTCTCATTTCTACTATTCCACATCAGTTCACTTCATTTTTCTACTCTTGTATATTTGTATAGTATTTCATTTTCTTCTAGATGATAAAAATTAGCCAGGGCTCAGTGGCACACACCTATATATAATCCTAGGAACTCAGGAGGCTAAGATCTGGGGGACTGTGATCAAAATCAGTCCGGGCAGAAAAGTCTGAGACTGCCTTTCTAAATTAAGCAGCAAAAGCTAGGGCAGAGGTGTGGCTCAAGTGGAAGGCACCAGACGAGGAAGCAAGTTGAGCAGGCAAGCCAAGCAAGTATGAGGGCTAGGGTCAATGCCTCCACAAACAGATATTAAGATAAAATCTTTTATCTCCTCATCTTTGTACTAGTTTTTTCATTATTCCAAGAATTTCTACAATTGTGCCTCCAGGATTCATTAGTTTTTATTAAGTAGAAAAATAATTTCTTCATGTGTGATACAATAAAACATAAGATTCTCAAAAATCCAAGAAATTCTCTTATATGGAATGTTCACTATTGAGTAACCACATAGGAAAGTAACCATATATGTATACATAATTCAGATGCTAGTCAATGCTTCTCTATTGATGCTTCATTAACATACAAAACACATACTTACCAGACTTTAGCCTCTGTTTCCCTTTCACTTTGGAGGGAATATGATATAAACCACTTCAGAAATCTAGCCAGGTACTTGGCTAGATTACAGGTATAATCCTAGCTGCTCAGAAAGGCTGAGATCTGATCGTCGAAATTTGAAGCCGGCTCAGACAGAGAAGTCTGTGACACTTTCTACCTCCAATTACCCCAAAAAAAAGCTAGATTGGACATGTGATTCAAGTGGTTGAGCTCTACCATGAGCAAAAAAGCCACTAGAGATAAAGATGCCAAGTTCAAGCTCTGATACCAGCGTGCATGCACACACACACATACACACAACTATATAAAACTGAAAGAAGAAAACACTTTTTATTAATCATAACATGAAAATGACACATAACCTAATAGAATCCAACTGGGATAAATAAATGTTGTTATAAAATTTACATTTTTCACATCCATTTCAGAGAAAAATATTACATATTAGGGTTCTTCTTGGTGTTTCAGATGGACTCCAATAAACCTTTATTCCAAAAATAGTAATTAACCTATATTCTCAAACTGCTAAGACCTAGTGAGAAAGGCAGCTATCAAATCTGTGATGGTAACTGGACAGGATCAGAACTACTTGGTTAAACATTTTACTTGGACTGCTGCCGCAATGCCCCTTTTCCAGTACAAATGCTGGTGCCTGAGAGTAGGGCCGCATGATCAGCAAGTTTCCTCTGAAGGAATAGACACTTGACAGATCAAGGCTCAACTGACTTTTGGTTCCCACCTGTGCTCTTTCAGAGCAGAAACAAATCCCTTTGTCTTTGTATACAAGCAGGTAAACATGAAATGCAGTTGCTATCACCTTTAAACACGAGACAGGGCGGTGAATTACTACTAGGAACTTTTCTAAAGCCCTTCCAGTTTTCACAGGAACAAGGCTGCAGAATCAGTCCGCAAACCACAACGTGATCACATCACACCCTTTAGCAATTTCTTCTATCAGCCACCCTTCAGCTTCCACAAGACTGAAGGGTTATGGGCTCAAACAATTTCTACATGTAATTAAACTTTGTTTTCACTGAACTGAAGACTTCTCTTTTTCACTTATGTGCCCGTGGAAACTGGCACACACCCATATGTACACTTGTTCAGGTGTGTGCATATATAAATTACTTTTACATTAGAATAAAACTAGACATTGAGGGGACAGTCATGTGAACACTTTTGACTTCTTGGAGAACCTGCCTCTATGTGGAAGAGGGCAGGTACAGGTCACTGAAGGAAGTGATGAGGCTATAGTACATTTTCTCATCATCCGTTAATCCCGGGTTGCCAGGTCTCACCACCACAGCTACATGTACATCGGCCTCCTCGGCAGCACTGGCCTCTGTGAAAACCAAAGAATGCATCAGAAACACCAGACTATGTCTGGGGTTTGCATCAAAGTAATAGGGCAGTAAGAACAGAAGACGTCACTTTGGTCCTGATTTTTGGGGGGGGGGGGGGGGGTGAGGAGGGGGAGTGCTACTAGTACTGGGGCTTGAACTCAGGGCCTCTGTGCTGTCCTTAAGCCTCTTTGTGCTCCAGGCTAGTGCTCTCCCACTTGGGAGCCACAGCTATACTTCCTGTTTCCTAGTAGTTAACTGGAGGTAAGAGTCTCACAGACTTTCCCCCTGCCTGGGCTGGCTTTGAATTTTAATCTTCAGCTCTTAACCTCCTGAGTAGCTACAATTACAGGTATGAGCCACTGGTGCCTGCCTTGGTCCTGATTTTTGCTAGAATATGGGCACACTGGGGTTAACTACATTATTTTTTGTTTTAATTTCATACCAGAAAGAACAAAAGATGTAACTATACCTGACAGAATACAATGGCAGCATATGCTATGCTTCTGAGCTGTATTACGTACACTATGTACAAATGCAGGACAGAGATATATATCCTGCTTCATGTCCTTCCTCCACTCCTACCAAGGACTGAGCTGTTTCCCAAAACACAGGTTGTGGGTAATCTCATCATTTAAATATGTATGGGACAAAGGAATCCTATGATCTAATGCAGTAAAAGCATCTGTTCTCACTTCCAAGCCCCAACATGTCATGCCCCCTGCTTAGATTGCACATCTTTTTGCCTGGAAAATTCAGCTCAAAACATTACATCTTCCAGACCCACTATCATCTTGTATTAAGAGTACCCTGCATACTCCTCTAACACCCAGTATTTACCTCTGTCCCAACAATGGAAATGGGCACATTATTACTTGGTTTTACCCTCATTAAGCTATGAATGCCTTAAGATAAATGATGGGGGTGTGGAGGGTAGAGACAGGACTAAATTAAAGTAGGAAGGTACCTTTAATGCTCTTGGATTACATTCCTTTGTTTTTATTACTGTTTAAAAAACAAGGCCTAATGATTTCCATTAAATTAGCATTGACTATGTGCCAGGTACTATATAGGACAAGAGAGAGGTAAATTAAACAAAGCTTCTGCCTTTGCAAAGCTCCCATTCTCATCCAAATCTCTGCAGCAACCCTGAAGTAGCTACTGCCATTATCTCCATTCTATAGATATTATCTCTGTTCTATAGAGCTATCAAGTGGCAGGGTTCAAACTTTGTCAGTCTGATGACAGGACACATGCTGTAGAACAAAGGTTGGAAAGTTATAGCATTTGTAAATAAAGTTAGGGAACACAGGCACACCCAATCATTTCTATATTGCCTATAACTGCATAATACCTCAAGGACAGAGTCGAACAGCGTTGACAAGAGACAATATACACTGCAAAAAGTCCTTTATATATAGAAAGAACTTGGCAACTCTCACCACAACCCTAAAGTACGACTCCAAACAAAGTGTGGGCCATGGACCTGCAGTGTGGGAATCCAAGCTTGTTGGAAATATATCTCTGGCAATCAAAATCTATCTACAGGATAAGGGACCACATGATTCTTACCAGAGGGTGCATTTGGATCTGTCTGGTCGACAGAGGAACAACTCCAGGCAGAAATAAAATATATAGACCCAGGCAACTGTGGTTCAAGTCTAGAGTCCTAGGTACTCAGGAGGCTGATCTCTTGAGAATCTCAGTTCAAAGCCAGCCCAAACAGGAAATTCTGAGAGACTCATCTCTAATTAACTACCCCCCCCCAAAAAAATAATAAAAAGCTGGAAATGGTGCTATGGCTTAAAGTGGTAGAGTACTAGCCTTGAGCAAAAACACCCAAGGACAGTGCCCAGTCTCTGAGTTCAAGCCTTAGGACTTGCACAAAATAAAATAACTAAGTAAAATAGAAAATACAAGTGTAAATGGTGGAAGGATTGAGCAGGTAGAATGTGGAATGACACAGGTTTGTGATAAGAGAGACACAGTATAACTGAAAAATCTAGAACACATATTCTGTGGAGTGCAGCTTTGGTGTCCAAGTCTCAAGAATTTCTAAACCTTTGGATTGGAGCTGCGGTGTCTGAAGTTACCAAGGGCTGGTGGCATGGCAAGAGTGCCTGCCTAACAAGCACCAAGCCCTGAGTTCAAATCCCATTACCCCTCGTCCCCTCCAAAAATACAAATGGATTGACCAAAGGGTAGCAGTGCTAAGGGAGAAGGTGTTATTTTGTGCCAGTCCTAGGGCTTGAACTCAGGGACCGGGCACTGTTCCTGAAAGTTGTTTTTTTTTTTTTTTTTAAACCAGGGCTGAGAACCGAACCCACGGCCTTGCGCGCGCCAGGCGGGCGCCCTTCCACTGGGCTAAACCCCCAGCCTCTGTTCCTGAAAGTTTGTGCTCAACACTAGTGCTCTACCACTTTGAGCCACAGCTCCATTTCCAACTTTTAATTTTTTTTTGGTAATTAGAGATAAGAGTCAAAGGGACAAGCCGCTTCATCCATCTTCCAAGTGTCTATTTTATTCTCTTGTTGGAAAAGGACAGTTGTATTCCCAGAGACACGGACAAGGCAAGTGATGAAGGGTGTGGTTACTCCAACATCCCACCTGACCATGAAGCCAAACTGTTTGTTGCTAGACTACAACCCCAGGATCTCAGCCTTGTTTGGCCACGTTGGTTTTCTAACCTGGACCACAACAGGGCAAGTTTGGCCATTAAGCATCTATTTGCTCTACTAGAACAAAAATTGAGACAATGAAGTCATGTTTATTAACTTAAAATTCTGCATCTATATCCCTCTCCTTTTTCCAAGAAGGAAAAGCTTTTTAGTTCTTTCTTTCATACTTGGGTATCCTTTAAGTTACAACTTAAGTCTTCTGTTCTGTAGAACTCTGTGGAAGTCTACAAACACAGGACCAAAGATGACAGAAAAGGCAAGGATGACAAGGCAAGCAGCCAGCTACCTGTCCTATGCCAGCTTCAGGTAATCCAAGTTCTAATCTTTCTGTCTAATAAGGTATGTATGGGCAGGAACCAATACCCTATTATGGAGGTCTTAGAAAAGTCAACCTTTTATCTCAGGACAACTTGGGGATTATTTCTATCTCCTAAAGTTAAAAAAAATTCTGGAACTATAACATATAAATGCTTAAGTAAAAAATTCTGAGTTCACAATCACACAAACACACATATACAGTGGCTAAACATGAGAATATGAGCCAGATGCTGGTGACTCACATCTATAACCCCTAGCTACTCAGGGGGCCAGGAACTGAGGATCACAGTTTGAAGAATGTCCTAGTAGGAAAATCTGTGAGGCTCTTATCTCCAATAAACTACCCAAAAAAGGCTGGAAGTTGAGCTGTAGCTCAAGTCTAGCCTAGCTCAGGAATAGCACCCAGGACTGAGTTCAAGCACCAGTACTAGCATGTGCATATGCAAACATGCACATATGTATACACACATACACACACAGAGATGAGAATATGAAGAAACTTAAGCAGTCTTAGGAAAGGATTTTATCTTTTCCTGTTTAACTCACTTTTTAAAAAATTTTTATTTTGTAAAGGCTGATGTACAGTTACCTAAGATACTGAGTACATTTATTTTTGAACACTGTTACCCCATACCTGTTATTATTATTAATAATATAACAAAAATTCAGGGATAGAGCAAGTCTGGGAATTAAAAGCTAAATCATGCCTTCGATCCAAGAATTGACTGGTGGGTTTGGTGTTTTAGCCACAAAACAGATCATAAAATAGCTGAAGAGACATCTACTATCCAAAGTACTAGGGAAGATGGGAATGTGGCTTGGTGGTAGAGTGCTTGCCCAGCATGCATGAAGCCCTGGGTTCAATTCCTCAGTACCACATAAACAGAAAAGGCCAGAAATGGCACTGCGGCTCAAGTGGTGGAGTGCTAGCCTTGAGCAAAAGAAGCTCAGGAACAGTGCCCAAGTCCAGAAATGGCCAACAACAACAACAAAAACAACCACCAAAATGCTAGGGAAGGACTAGGGAACATAGCTCAGTGGCAGAGAACTTGCCTAACATGTTCAGAGTCCTAGATTCAATCTCCAGCCCTGCAAAAGTGCTAGATGGAATATACAGTAATTATAGATTTGCTATGTAAATTATTTTTAAAAAGCAATTCAATGATTAAAGTCAGCTAACCTCACCAGAAAAAAGGCTTATTTCCTTTCCCTAGGAGCAAAACACAGTAAACTGTCTACAAATTATCATTCTTCAAGCCGGACGCTTGTAATCCTAGCTACTCAGGAGGCTGAGATCTGAGGATCACGGTTCAAAGCCAGCCCGGGCAGGAGAGACCTTGAGACTCCTATCTCCAATAAACCACCAGAAAGCCGGAAGTGGTGCTGTAGCTCAAGTGGTAGAGTGCTTGCCTTGAGCTGAAGAGCTGAGGGACAGCGCCCAGGCCCAGAGTTCAAGCCCCACGACCGACCAAAAAAAAAATATATATCATTCTTCAATAAATATGGCTGACAGGCAATCTCCCCATCTACTTTCTAAGACCTCAAAGGTATATTGAAACTTCAAATCAATGCATTTTATATACAGAAATGATAGGTAACCCCTGGCTATCATGGTGACACACGCCTGTAACCCCAAGCTATGTGTGTGGCAGAGGGAGGAAAATGGTGTAGTCCAAGGCCAGTCCTGAGCAAAAAGTGAGATCCGATTTGAAAACTAATTAAAGCAAAAAATGCTGGAAGCTCAAATGGTAGTACTGCTTAGTAAGAATGAAGCCCTGAATTCACACACCCAGAACACCAAAATAAATCAATAAAGGAAAAGGTAAAAAAGAAGAAAAGAGAAAGAAATCTGATAGCAAATTTTGATAATCCCTTTACAGTTCAGGTGAAATGTTTGTTCCTAAAGCTAATCCTCACTGATGGTGCATTTTAATGTGGCCTGGCCTAGCTACTTAGTTAGTTTTACAATAAATCTTGGCTTGCTTGTGTATCTGCCTCCTCTCCCATGCAATCAGGTAAATGAAGTAGAATAAAACCCCGAAGATACTTTACAGAAAGCCTTGCAAGTTGAAGCTGACCCAAGCTAGGACATGTGGGAAAGGAGCTGAAACTCATAAACTGCTGAATTCTGAAATCTCAAAGTAATAAAATGCTGTACATTGGTACTGTCTACCAAGATTATAAATCCCAGTCAATTTACCAAGGACTCCACCAGATAGTAGGATTACTGAATGTCTGTCAGTGACTAGTAGAAAATAAGCTTGTTCTACTAGTATTTCCTTGGAAAAACCTATTAAACTTATGAAGGCATTAAATGACCTATGTTAATTACGATTGAAAACAGCAGCAGCAGTTTAGCAAACTAGTATCTGTCTGTCTGTGTACCTCCACACCTCGTAAACCACAAGGGACCACCCTTCCTCAGGGACTCACTTCCAACAGCGGCCAGGATCATCCTTTGGCATAGGGACCACAGACAGGAAAGGCTAGAAACAGCAGTCTTGTCCACAGACCACTGAAGTAGCCTCCAAGAGACCTAGCGGTCCCAGGGAGCCAGTATATCAGTAAAGCATCCCCAACACGTCTCTTGTCAGTTTGTTGAGAACAGCAGTTCACAAAGCCCTGTTCTGGGGGTAAATGGAATGTGTGATCTCAGTTCCAGAGAAATGGATGATCCAGGTAGAAATGGAAGAAATGTGAGAGAGAGGTAAAAACCAGAGCCTGCCTTGTCTTCCCTACTTCTTCCCCTGTGCTTGTTTCTTCAATCACTTCTCGTTCTATAGTTCGTTAGAGGACTCACATCCTTACCCAAATATTGGAGTATCTGGTCAAAACTACTTCGGAAATCATTTCTATTTCCAAAAAAGTAGGAACACACGATTTCATGTATTCAACCCTTAAAGTAAATATGACACTAGGGCACAGAATGTTTGTTGTTCCGTGGTAGAACGCTTGCCTAATATATGTAAGGCTCTGGATTTAATCCCAAGCATCAAAGAAAAGATGTACAATGCTACCGGGCACCTGTCGCTCACGCCTATCATCCTAGCTACACAGGAGGCTGGGATCTGAGCATTCTGGTTCAAAGCCAGCCGGGGCAGAAAAGTCCACGAGACTCTTATCTCCAGCAAACCACCAGAGAACCCAAAGTAGTGCTATGGCTCACATGGTAAGGTGCTAGCCTTGAGCTGAAAAGCTGAGGCACAGTGCCCAGGCCCAGAGTTCAAGCCCCACGACCAACCAAAAAAAAAAAAAGTATAACGCTAACGTACTGGATGTAAGAGGGCCACACTGGATAAAAAGTGTCATACTTTGGGGGCTGGGAAGGTGGCTCAGTGGTAGAGTGCTTGCCTTGCATGCCTGTGGCCCTGGGTTCAATTCCTCAGCACCACATAAG